TTCTTTGTTATGAGATGGGGCCACAACATTAGTAACAAAGAAACAGAATTTCTGGAGGACGAGGCCCAGAAATCAGGATTTTAAAAAGATTCCCAGGTGATTCTAATGTGCAGCCAAGGTTGAGAACCACTGGTCTAACAGAAGAGTCATAGAGATCTGCAGGTGGCAGGAATAAGACTAAGGGGAGGTGTCCAGTGGAAAACTTCTGAGTTTCACCTTGAGGGTAACTGGAAGTCATGGATGAGTTTCAGGGAGGAAACATACAGGTGATTAGAGCTGAGGTTTTAAAAGATTTATCTGAAGCAAAGTAGAGACTGTGCAGGAGGGCAGCTTGGGTGCATGAGCAGGGCAGCTGGATGTCATTGTAGTGGTCCAGGCAAGAGTTGGTGATGGGTTGGGCCAGACTGTGGAGGTTGGAACGATATTTGGGGGCAGAATCTCCAGTTTCTCACTGAGCTGAGTGTGTGGGAGTTGAGGGGGTAGTTTAAGGTGGAGGGTGAGGAACAGAGCGAGACTGGGTTGACGAGATCCAAGGAGCTATGTGTCCCCTTAACATTCTTTCTTGCATCCTGCTTCCCCAACCAGGCTTTGAGCTATGCTGTGTCCCCCCAGGCACACCACTTCCCAGATCCTTAATAAAGAGAAATTTTATCACTCTTGGTCTACCCCATAGATGCCCAATTTCCTATTCAGGATCCAGTTTCCTTTAACCAAGGTCTGTGTTAGCCCCAATCCCCTTGACACACCCACTGCTCACCCCAAAGGTCTCCCAAAGGTCTCCATTCGGTAGCAGTTTCTCAGCCTCCACTTTCAGACATCTGACATATTGCTTCCTGTGTTCTTTTCTGTAATTATCTCCTCCCATTAAAACAACAAAACACCATGATTTGCTTATCAGATTGGCAAAAACTTAAAAAGATCAAGTCTTGGTAAGAATGTGGAGTACAAACTTACTACTCAAGGCTGTCACCACCTCCAGAGCTTTAAGCATGTCCAGGACACCTGGAGGTGGCCGGCCTCAGAGGGTCAGGGGCTAGGACAATATGGCAGCTTTGCTCTGAGTGGGGCCTCTGGGAGCTTTGCACAGTCAGGGTGGAAAGAAGAGCCATGAACTGAGATTGAAATTCTCACCAGCCAGCGGGATGGGAAGCTCAGAGTCTGAAATAATTTGACTAAAAACAAATAAGGCCCAGGACATTTCTTAGATGTCTTGATTTGTGGAGTAAGACTCATAATGCTGCATGCCAACCTGATGGTAGTTTTCCCTTTTTGGTGCTCTCGACTGGACTCTATTATGGCAACCTTTGTTAATGTCCATTGACTAGTGAATGCATAAGCAAAATATAATGTAGGCATATAATGGAATACTATTTGGAAATAAATGAAAGAATGAACTATTGACACATGTAATACCATGGATATACCTCTAAAATATTATGTTAAATGAAAGAAGCCTGGCTCAAGAGACCACATACTATATGAGTCCATATACATGAAATATGCAGAAAAGGCAAATCTATAGATGGAAAAGTACTAATTTTCCCTAGCACTGGACGTAGGAAGGGGGAGTGATTAAAAATGGGCATGAAGAATCTTTTTTTTGGAGGGGGGAAGAGTG